AAAGTTTGATACCAAACTTATTGACATAAATTCATGAAATAGTAGTTCAATATAATTTTGAATGAGAGTCAAGAGACGAGATGACTTGGCCTTTAACCCCTGACCCATCTTGAAAGGGTTAAAGAAAATAATTTTTTTACTATTTCATATTCTTAGCATAATTTGGTAAGTTCAGTTTTTTGAAGTTCATTAAAATTTTTTATTTCAAAAGAATATTTTTCTGAATTTGATTAAATATTGTTCTAATATTGACAAAAAACAACTAGTTTTGTCAAATTTTACTAACCACATTCATCATACAGATTGTGTAGACCATATTTCTTTTTTTTTAGCTGTGATTGTTCTATGTATATGATAGGTTCAGTCTTGTTTAAATGTAATACAAGCTAATCATTTGGCACTAAGCCTTCTTAGTGTGACAGACTTTGATAAATGCAGTTGAATATTTACTTAACTACAACCTAACAATTTTGATATAATAATTTTTGGAAAAAGACTTAATTGATTTTTAGTTTTACCTGTCTCATTCAGATCTAGTTGTTAATACAAATTAATTTTTGTGTAATATTTGTTTGTTTGGTTCTATTATCCTGAAGTATGTTTTAAAGAAACGAAACGGGTTAAAACCTTTTTTTAGTCTTACCTAGATTTTTGATTAGAAAACAAAATACAATTAAAAGGTACTTTGCATTTTGATGATTGAGCCAAGAGTGATTTTCTAGAAGAACATAAAACACTTTCAGAATCTAACTTAAAATGTTTCACTGCATTTTGTTATTGTCGTAAGCTATATGATTATAATATTTTAGTTTAGACATGTGTTTGCTAGAGGAAGCTAATCATAATGAGAATGATATATATGCCAGAGGAAAGTGGAGCAGGAATCGATGAGATACTCAGTTCAATGTTAGTAATGAGAGTTAGTCAGTAAATAAATTAGTTGGTCAGCACGTTTGTTAATGTTAGTGATCGATTAAGGAAGTTAGATGTATGTAATGTTAGTTTTGGAATTTCCTTTCAAACGTTGTCTTCGATGTTAGGCCTACCAAAGTACCAGTGACATAGTCTGTAACATTTGGTTTGGAAAGTTAAGCTTACAAGTGAACATAGGCTGTATTACAGCAAACAAGAGACTTCTCACCATATAAAGGATGCAGATATTTGTAATGATGTAACATGTAATGCAGACATTTGAAATAACCATCAGACACAACTAGAATCTTAAGTTCACAACGTTTTTGTTGAAATTCTGAGAATTGGTTGCATTTTTCATGCTCTGGCCTTTTGTTCACACAAAGGGTAATGTTCTGGGCTAATATTTGTCTTCTGTTTGTAGGCATATAGATAAAGAAATAGCAAAATTTCTTGTTTCCAGTTGTTACATTTGATTTGCTAATATCAATTACATAATTCATCTCTAAAAATTATATTATTCCTGAATTTTAAGACATTTATTTGCTTGCACTGACAGCTCTGCCCAGCGTGGAAGCATGACTAGTGTGTTTGCTTAGACTCATATTTCTCTGGTAAAAATGATTTCAGTTTTGTATAAGCAAGAATTTTGGCTTATATCCCATAGTGAATTTACAGTATAATTTTATTTTAATGAATATTTTGCTAATTTTAAATGAGTTAGCACAATCAACGGGATCTCAGAAAATTTTGTAATTGTTCTATGCATGCATGTTATTGAAATAGGCTCTGATGTTGTGGCCCTGGGTCATTTCGATGGGTCACTTGTTCAAGAAGGAGTCAATAGCATGGTTACAGAAGTCAAACGCATGTCTAGCTCATCATCATCAGATGGAAGGTAAAAATACAACTTCCATTTCTTTCATCAACGTTTATGTAGTATTTATCTTTCCATATTGTTGCACAGTTACTTAATATGTAATTAAGGTAAGTTTAGAAAGTTAAAATTTAACGTTTGTTCATACATTTCTAATTTTGTATATGCTCATTCTTCCAGTTTTAAAAATTTGGTTATTGCTAGTTGTATTTAGAAGTAATAATAAGTTGTATGCATCTTATATATTATCATAAAGAATAATATCCAAGTATTTTATGTTTAAGCTTGCATTATTTCCCAGTGTAATATCTTATCATGTTTCAATGCATCTTTTATTTTTATATGAATAAAGTTAAATGCCTGAAACTTTTTAAATATTTTACTCTGTATTTGGGAATAAATTACTGTGGTTTTTACAGCTTTGTTTCTGTTTAAACATGGTTAATAGTGTTTTAGGGAAATAATATATTAAATAAATATCTTGGTGAATTTTTGTCTATTTTTCATCTTTTTTTTTTTTAGTTCTGTTAGCAAAATAATTTAATGTTATAAGTGAAAACTCGCATGTTGATGTGTCTACATAATACTGTGAAACAAAAGAAATGGTGTAATTTCACTGAGATATCTATAATTGTATTCCATGTTATGAATCTGTTGAAAATGTATTCATGTATTATTAGGTATCTTACTGATGTAACTGAATGTTGCAAATTTTGTTAGATATATCAGGACTAACTTTACAACAAACTTAATTAAAAATTAATTCCAGTAATAGATAAAAAGTTCATGGAATAACTTCTAACAATCAACAGTTGTTTGTCCTCTGGATATCTCCTATTCTCAGTTAAAATTTTATTTAAGTAAGAATTAATTGTACTTGGTCAGATGTATTACTTTAATATTGAAACTTTACATGTTTGTTTTTTAATTTTTCTTTAGCACTTATGCATGATGTAATCAAATTTTTACATGATATAGGCATCATCATTCCAGATTTTTAGGTATCTGCCCCCAAAAAACTCTAAAAACTAATATTGAATTATTCTAGTTTTTATCAGCTCTGGTTTTTTTATGTAGAAAATTACAATATTATAAACTAGTATTAATCAGTATCACAGGGGTTTATGGGGTAGGGTTAAGGTGGTGCCTGATTAAATTAACAGAAAATTTGACCTAATATTACTTACATTGGTTTCGGAACATAAGTGAGGGTTAACCATTTTTGATGCAGTAAATAAATGTATGTTTATTATTATTTTCTCAAAATGGCAAATTCTTTATTTTGACTGCCTGTAATAAAAAATAAATTTATTTTTCTACACTATTGAAAATATTTTGAAATCAGTTTAACAAAATGCATTTACATGTTTACTTTCACCGAGTTTTCATAGCTGTACCATATGAAAGTTAAGCATTAAATTTTTAAAGTTTCTGAGTTTGATAATGGGATTTTACAAAACCAATTTGAAATTCAAAGTTTACAGACATTTTATTTCTAAAAATGCTTTTACCAAGTTAAAATATGTATACCTGTATGTTCAGTATTGGGATGAAACCCTTGAAAACATATGAAAATCTTCTTAAGGGAGTAGTTTGTTTCAAAATTGACTAAAAAATTTATTTCTGAGTAGGCTTGACCATCAGTTACTTTTTTTTTGTTCAATATGTTTTCCTTACCAATTTATATTTTATGTTTATTCTTAACCACATTTTATTTTGATTATGGACCAGACGTTGCCTAGTTATTAGCATATCGAATATGTATCCCAGAGCCCATGATTTGTGTTGCTTTGCTGTAAAATCACATTATGCTTGTGAGTGATTCATAAAGAATGATATTCAAATGCTATTTTTTGATTAGAATAGCCCAAGAGTTGGAAGTTGGTGCTGTTGACTAGTTGCTTTCTTTCTAGTCTCTTTTTCCAAATTAGGAGCAGCTTGTACAGATAGCCCTTGTGTAGTTTAATGCAAATATGAAAACAAAGAAAAATCTAGCTGCAAACCAAAATATCTTGCATATGTAAGGTTCTGAGATGTTTAACTTGCAACCTGTACAGCTGCTGTGGATGCAATCACAGTGGATTTCTTGACAGCACCATGTTAAGGTAACTTCACCTGTGAAGTCCAATCACAGTGGATTTTCTGACAGCACCATGTTGAAGTAACTTCACCTGTGAAGTCAAATCACAGTGGATTTCTTGACAGCACCATGTTGAGGTAACTTCACCTGTGAAGTCCAATCACAGTGGATTTCTTGACAGCACCATGTTGAAGTAACTTCACCTGTGAAGTCCAAGGTTCCTGTGGCAGTACTCAAAAATAAGTTTGGTGTTGACAGGGACAGTATTGACAGTGGTAGTAGCTTTCTGCTAGATCAAAAGAACAAGGTCTCCAACCTCAACTTTACTACAGGAAATGGTTTATTTATTGCTCTGAGCTTATCTAGAAAATATATTGTTAAAACAAAAGCATTTAGAATGGAAAAAACATTTAAGAACCTTGAAATATGTACATGAAACTTTAAAAAAGGTAAATATATATATAAAAGTTACATTTGTATTTTTTTTATTAATATATTTTAAAACTTTATATAGTTGATACATTTTATTATAGTATATGTAATAACATTTTCTTATTTCCTACAGGTTAGAACTTCATATGATAGGAGGATTTCTTGATGACAGAGGTTATTCTGAACAGTTAGTTTTTGATATATTAGGTAAAATATCTTCTTGTTGTTACATTTTATATGGTAAAAATTGTTTTACTACAATATGTTAATGGTGTGATAAATTCTCAATGCTATTGTATAATAGAACATATAATAAAATAATGCTTTCAAGAAAAAAATGAAAAATTTAGTATTTACTCTGTATGTGTGTTTAGTCATAGTCTCCTAGCATCACTTGTTTATATTAGGAAAAAATAATAGTAGAAAGACTAGTTTTTGATCATGCATTACAATGTCAAATCTGTGAGCTAGAACACGAAATGCAATACTACTGCACTCTTTAAATGGTTATCAAGTGTTTTTATATATATAACTGGACAACACTTGACAATTGTGCTTTGTCCCTTGTGATGCATGTTTTTAAAACTGACTTTTTTTTTCAGATGCATTTAACAGTCTCTCACAAAATGTCAGTCTCATCACATGCTGTGTGTGTGGTATGTACAAAAGTTATTTTTTGAACATGTCATGTCATTTAGTTTTTTATTGAATAACCTGTTGCATGTGTTTACTAATGCAGAGCTTTAGAATTTTTTGTCTTTATAAATTTCTTGTATTAAATACAATTTGTAAGCAAACTTACTTGTGAAACAGAATTTTATCATAGTGTTAACTATTTATATCATGCTCTTATGCTCTTTATAGTTCCTTTTCTTTTGTCAAGTGTTTCATGTAATTTGTAGAATGTTTTTCCATCATATTGTTGATATTAAATGTGTAATGTATGTAAACTTCATTATTTTGGAAATAATGTGGAAGTGAAGATTTTATCTTGTAGAAAGATTTCTGGTACTTAGAAAACACATAACATGCATGTACTACTAGAGCTTTATATACGTATATATTTGTAAAAGAAAAACACATAAGCACACTAGAGAGGTACTAGTTAGTCATCTTTATATGTCTATGATATATAAAATCTAGCTGACCTTATATGTTTGTTGAATAAGTGAAAAACAATATATAAAACTAGATGACTAGCAATTAGCCAGTTTGTATTCTTACATTGTGTTCTAGAACATGCTTATGAAGCCTTGTGACTTAAAGAGAGTTACCTCAGGAAAAACCATTGGAATACCAGATGGTGTACAGATACCCAGCAAACAGTGATAGGCCTATTATACCCAACAGAATCATGCTATAATCAGACAGAGTATACCAGAATGTATAATGCTAGACATACACTCTGCAGTGTGCAAGTGTGCTTTTGATATATAAGTAATACACATGATAGAATATTTTGAAGATCATATGTACTCAATAGCTATGTAGATTCTAGTGTTAAAGAAAGGGCTGTATCTATGATAATCTGCAAGAAACTAATAAGCATTGTCGGAACTGAATATTTGTGTGTGTGTGTGTCTCTCTCTCTCTCTCTCTCTCTATATATATATATATATATATATATCAGTAAGCCTTTTTTTTTCAAATAATACCTGTAGTTCTGTGTCAAATTCTGAAACTATATAAAAAGACTTAAGTACAGCAAATTTTATTTAACATCGATATAAGAATTAATAATATTGTACCGATGGATAAAGTTGATAGTGCTGTATATTTATCTTGTTGTTACAGAGTTGAATAATGTCAAGAAAAGGAAATTAAACTGGCCTATAATTTATGGGATAGGTAGGTATTTAGTAATTCTCCATAAAGAATACCAACCTAATATTTTTGTGTGTTTTTAGAAGCTGTGTTCAAATTCTAAACAGTGTGTTATGTTCTCTAAATGTATTAGATCCTCAAGATATTAATGTTATGTTTTGGAATACTTTCCTTATCCACCACCCCCAAAACGTACATCATGTATATTAGTTAAATGAACTGCCTAAATGTCACATTAGTGTAGCCTATATAATGTGTAAAGTTTAGTATATTCAAATCCCTTATAGTGATGGCACACGATGAGACACACATTTGGCATGTAATGCTGTTTGAATACAAGAAGGGAAATAATGCCTCTATAGCCACAAAGAATATCAAAGAAGTTTATGGTAATGTTTGTAAGTGTCAACGATGGTTCAGCAAATTTATTTCATGTGACTTTAGCCTTAAAAACTGTGATGGCAGAGGCCGACATTTTGGAATTGATATTGATCCTCTGAAGATGCTTGTTGGGTCTAACTCAAGGCAACACACTTGTGAAATGGCCCTGAAATTGCAT